TTCAATGTGTGTACAAATTCGAAGCAAAACAAGAATTTAAAAAACACTTGTTATTTACTGAAAATGAAGATTTCTATTCATGACGTTGTAATAAATCTAGAGCAGCGTCGGACTTGGATGTGCAGTTTGTGTATACAAACTGTTTATTTAGACGACGCTCGTAAGTTTTTGTGCATTGTTTTGAATTTTGAAAATTTTAACATAATCTATCTTGAAGATTATTGCTAGCATTTGGAAGTGCGTTGCGCCATAAAAAAAAGAAATGAAGTGTGTGATCCATGTACATATGTATAAGTCAAAATCCAAATGTTTGACGTTATAATGAAATTAGCTTAACGTCAGACTGGTCCGTGCGCACTATCCGCGACCTTTGAAGACCCCAATTTTACAAAAATAGTATTTTCCATCCATGAAAATTAAATCATTTTGATTTATTTTTTCATAAGAAACATTTTGATATACAAAAGATTCATATTGAACCATTTGTTTTAACATAAACGCCATGGTCCACAAATTTTTTTGGACAACCCTCGTATATCATCAGAAATGATTTTTTTTTTAAATGAAACAATATATTTATGCCTATTCGAAAATAATGTCACATTTTCTGTGATTGAAATCCCCTAAATGCAATACAACAATGACCAATATTTTTTTATTCCTCAACTTACATTCATAAAACTATTTATACTTTATCCTTACACAAATATCAAATCATATCAATATCAATCTATCTGCTTACACTTTAATTATTGGAAAATAAAGGAGAAAAGAAATACATTTTAAAAATTCACCAGTATTGAAGAATGAGTTAACTACATGTATTGGTAATGCCCTGGTATACCCCCACACACAGAACAGTGATTCCTAGAATATACACCTTATCACTGGTGAATGAATTTATTATGTCTTTATGAAGTCTTATGAATTCTCACAAGAATTCATTATTACTCGTAGTATGTCTTTAATGTCAAAGAATAATCTTTTTACATGGAATTGTTCAAGGTACTCTGAATTCGTGAGTTAAAATGGGAGTGTAGGGAAAACACCACGAATAAATCCTTAAAAATTACAGTTATTCCCAGGCCCTGATGACTTGGAGAGTCTTCAATAGTACTGTAACATGCTCTTTCTACAAAATTTAGTCCTAGCTCCTAAATTTGCCCAAGTTTGTAAAAATCTAGAGCCCATTTTGCAAAAGATCTTTCGACTAAGTAAAGAAAAATTCTTCTGTTTTTTTGTTTTTTTTACATTGAATTGAAAATAGTTTTTCAAAATCTTTCAAAAAGAAAGTAGAAAGATCAAATCACCGTAGCAATTTTAAACAGAATAATAAATTTTCCCAGAATGTTAAGATCAACTTTTTTGGGGATTGTTGTAAAACTTTTTTGAAACTGATCACTGATTTTTCTAAAAAATTTTTTTTTTTATTGAAACAATAGAAATTAAAATTACCGCAAAATTGAGAAAACAAGATTGTTTTTTGGAGAAAAGACAATTTTCTGAAACTATATACATGTAATTAGCTTTTATTTGTACTGGTAAAATAACCCATGGTATAGTACACCGGTATCAGATTTTCACATTTTTTATATCACAATTTAGACAACATTTGGATATCACAATAAAAAAGCGATGTATCAATTTTCACCATTACTGAAAACATTTCGATTTCACTCATTTACTCGGTAAACTTATTTTCCAAAACGTTAGCTGCTTCCTGGCAAGAGCTGTTAATCAGTTGTTCAGTTATCATGGAACAATCTGTCTTTTGTTCAATGATAACTCAAGTAATTATAGCTTAAAATCTGTAAATTCAGATCTATGAAAATTTAAAAAAAATCCTTTTGAACCAAAATCAAAAAAAATTTTTACAATTCCTTCCAACAACAGACACCCCAAAAAATCATAACAAACAAAATGTGTGTGATTCAAAATTTGGGCCCTTTTTAAAAAAAAGGGTCTACATTTTGTAAATTTAAATGTTTGTCACATTTTACCGAAGTTAGATGAATTAATTTTATTTTTACGGGATAACAAAATGTTGACTTTTTTTTCTCTATGTGAAACTTTTCTTGACGAAAAATTAGTGATTGTATTATAAATGTAAATGGGTATACTTTTGAAAGAAAAGATAGAAAAGGAAAGGGGGGTTGGTAGTTACATATATTTCAAATGATTTGAAATTAAACGGCAACTGATTTAGAAATTAGTAATTTAGAAACATTGTGGCTTGAAATTATTTTTAAGAATTCTAAACCTATACTTTATTGTTCAGTTTACCGTCCACCATCTGCCCCCTCCTGCTGGGTAGACGATTTTTTTAGAGAGGTTCAGTGCGCTACCTGCTGTGACGATCAGGAAGTGATTATTACGGTGATTTCAATATAGATATGCTCAAAGACCCCCGCAGAGTTGGTCATCTGCAATTGTAGATTTGGGATTAACACAATTAATTAACACCCCAAAAAAATTACCAATAGCTCTAAAACTCTCATTGACCATTTCTACACTACGCACCCTGCTAACATATGTGAAATATCATACCCCTGTAGCAATGTCTGACCATTATCCAATATGTGCTACCCGAAGATCTAACAGCATGCAACGCAAAGGCAGACACACTGAAATACAATACCGTGATTTTAAAACCTTTAATGAACATGATTTTTTGCATGATTTAAATAATGCAAATTTTGATGAATTAATTCTCCTGCATGATCCTGATGAAATTTTAACATATTTTTATGCAATTTTCAATTTTTTTAATAAGCATGCGAAAGTTAAAACAAAGCTTAAATCAGAAATTCGCACTAAATGGTTAACTCCAGAAATAAATGAGGCTAGGATTAAAAGAGATCAATTCCATAAACAGGGAGACATGGGCAATTTTAGATTTTGGAGAAACAAGGTCACCTCTCTAATTAATGATGCAAAATCTACATATTATAAGACAGTAATTGAAAATAGTTCTACATCAAAAGAAATGTGGGGTCATTTAAATCAGCTTTCCTCAAAATCAGATAAATTTTCATCCCCTTCCAATATAACTTATAATGGATTAGAATTTGATTAGTTAAAAGACATTGCAAATGCGTTTAGTAAGCATTTTGCACATATTCCAAGACAATTGTTAAATAATCTTTCATTGACTAGTTTTGATTCAGAAAAATTAAAAGTCAGGAAACAAAACTTGGAGATAAGATTTTTTTTGAAATTCCATTGATCAATGAAACAAAAGTTTTGATATGTTAAATAGGCTTGACATAAACAAATCTACTGGCATAGACTAAAACTTTCAGCTAGTGTAATATCCAAACCTCTAACACACTTAATAAATTCCAGCATAATCAAGGGGCCCTTTTCCCTTTCACAGTTAAAAATAGCAAAAGTAACTCCTCTATTTAAAAAGGGTGATAAATCAGACCCAGGAAATTATAGACCAATCTCAATTTTCCCAACTATTTCGAAAGTCTTAGAGAAGCATGTAGCAGAATGTACGAATCTTTACTTCTCACTATGATTTATTAATGAAAGCACAATCTGGATTTAGAGAATTTCACTCTTGCCAGACAGCTCTCACAAAACTAACTGATAATGGCTACATGGGGATGAGACCGAAGAGAGATTAGTTGGCATAGCTTGTGGATGGCCAAGCATCTGATATCATTGGAGTAACTTTGACATGCTGTTGCTGAACTGAAATGCCTAAAATTGATGATGGTATTGATTCAATGGTTTGAATCATCTTTAAATGATCGAGACGCGGAGTGAAAATTGGTGCGTACATCTGAATCACTGCCTGTCACAGCAGGTGTGCCACAGGGATCTATTTTAGGTCCTTTGTTATTCCTGTTATATATTAATGATTTACCATTATCTGTTGAACATTGTAATATTGATATGTTTGCTGATGACACTACAATGCATTTTCATGGTAACAATATTTCATATATTGAAGCAGCTCTGAATCAAGACCTTTTTCAAATACAAAACTGGTGTCACAAAATCAGATGATTTTGAATACGGACAAAACTAAGAGTATGTTAATGGGAACACATCAAAAGAAATCAAAATTAGAAAACGCTAATCTTCATTTACAACTTTCTGGCCAACCCCTTGAAAATGTTACAACAGGGAAATTATTAGGTGTTCACATTGATCATAATCTTCAATTTACTAGTCATGTAGATGCAGTTTGCAAAACTCTTGCATATAAATTATTTACTCTACGAAAAATTAAGAAGTTCCTTCCATTGCATACTAGAAAGCTATTTTATAACGCATTTATTTTACCATCAATTTTATATTGTCTATATTATTTGGGTAACTCTCCTCAAACTCACATCGATAGAATATACAAACTTCAAAAACGAGCAGCTAGGATTATTTTAAATGAAAAATACGATGCACCTTCAATGCCCTTGTTTAACATATTAGGCTGGTTAACAGTTCATGAACTTCTATATTTACAGAAAAGCATTCTGATGTTCAAAACATTCCATGGTATGTCTCCTGATTATATGCATGATTTTTTTGAATTTCAAAGTTGTGGATCATACACGCTACGCTCACAGACAAATTCAGAACTTCGTTTACCAAAATTTAAAACTAATTTATTTAAAAATTCTTTGCAATATTCAGGGGTTATTATATGGAATGAGTTGCCTATTAGTATAAGGAATTCCCAATCCCTTTCAATATTTAAAAGTAGGGTAGAACATTTTTTACTTATGAAACGTTCTTCATGAAGAGAAAAAAAAAAATTCATTCCTCTGAACTTATAATGAAACGAAAGTGTTTAATTTATTCTAGTGTAACAAAATGTGTGTTTATATCTTATTGTTCCATGTTTGTGATTATTGTCTTTATTATTGTATAAAACATTGTATATGTGTTTTTAAGAAGGCCCCGAGGAAGACTAGTGCTCGCGCTAATCGGATTACCTTCTATAAATAAAGTATTATTATTATTATTATTATTATTATTAATATCTGAAGCAAAAAATCCTTTTAGTCAATGTTTTCCTTTATTGTAAGCTCCTGATCTGCCATTCCAGGCTGCTTCGACGCTATCTTTCTTGAGATAAACAATCCGGAGAAGTAAAGCACAAATAAAACCGCGGTTTCTCCAAACAAAAGGTAACTGAACCACATCGGAGTGAAGGTCTCCATGAGAACGCTGACGATCGGGGGATTTATCATAAATCCCACCGATGCCGCCACGAGAAAAAGTGAGGCTATTTTGCCCGTAACTTTTAAAAATTTCTGTTCTGTCCACATAAAAACGGTTGGAAAAATTACAGACATAGAAAGCCCTGCTAAAACAGAAAATATCCATACACCATATATGACGTCATATTGTGACGTAAGAAGAAAGCCAAGTAATGATAACAAAAGCGCACAGTTGTAGGTAAAGATCATTTTCGCGGGGCTGAACCATCTGACGAGGAAAATTCCCAGAAAACGTCCAACAGCAAATGAAGACCAATAGGCGGAAGTGATGTAGCTTCCATCTGCATTTGACCAGTGTAATTGTGACGTCACAAATGTTGTCAGGAAACCTGCAAAACTGTTCTCTACGGCTACATATACAGCTATATAAACTACCATATTTATGAATCCTACAATTCGTAAGCGTCGATGAGACTTTCTATCATTTTCTTCGTCTTCTGTTTTCTCTTTTTCAAGTCTCTTCTGCAGTGATATACAGCAAAAGACAATAAACGGAAGTGACGTCAAAAAACAAACCCCCGTAGTAATAGTATATGGAATGTAAATCAGTGATGTTTGCACCTCAGCCGACTGCGTACTTGTGGATAAATTGCTTACATTGTACAAGTTTTCAATTATTCCTGTACTATTTATAGAATTTGAGTTAAACGTTGTCCTGTTCATCACGTGATTATCGTTGTCAAGTGACATAACATACGGTGCCGTTGCTAAGGGAGAGAGGATTCCTCCAACAGCAAACGCGAAATGTAAAGCGTTGAAGTAAGCATCGCCTTCATTTCCCCAGGTCACAACCATACCTGCATTTCCGCCTATTAAAAACAAAATCGAGTTACATATACATATATGTTTTTCTCCTATTCGATTTCCTATTAGTCCGCGTAAGGATAAGCTACATGTATACAATTAAGATTCAACATTTAATATTTACATTTCCAATAAATTTTCCCTATAATTCTTTACAAAATAAAATGCAGTATATTTTCTCATGAACTACATTAGGTATGTATCACAAATAAGCATGAATATCACCATTGTTACGTCATAATACCGCTCTTGACGTCAAAAAGTCAAAAAATATAGTGCACAGTGTTTTGTTTTAAAAATGCCAGTTGAACGGCGCAAAGTTATGGCAAGTCATCAGAAAAATAATGTAAATATAAGAAATGAATTTAATTTTTGAAGATTCATGAGGTTATGAACTACGACGCTTCACGCCGGCATATTTTTCATGAAGCGCTAACTCATGAATCTTCATAAAATTAAATTCATTTCTTAAATATACCCGATACTTCGTGTGTACTTACATGTGTCCAAACCGCCACCAAAAGCCCCCTTAACAATATGAATAATGACCATGACCTCATACAACCCACACCACGGAATAATGGCTACAATGACGCCGTATCCGGCGGTGGCGATAAACATCAGCAGGTTTCTGTCTAAGACTCGCTTGTCGAAGAGAAAGCCTGTCAACAATGAGCCCAGGAGGTATCCAACGGTCCCCATGGTAAAGAACAGGGATCCCTCCTCGAGAGTAGCGTGGGCAATAAGTCTAAGGTCTGGAAAGGTAGGTCCAAACTGGCCCTCTACCCAGCCCTGTACAGTAAATAAAAAAGTGGATCATTATAAAATTTGATCGTAACTCTTGACTTACATTGACGTGCTGTACGTTTTATTGTATTACATGTATTAATGTTTTATTGTACGAGAAGTCGAGCGTGCTTCATGAAACGTATGGAGATAAAGAACAGTATTCAAGATCGAAATCATAAAACATATTACAAAATAAGAGTAGAAACAAACATGGACCTTCAAAACATAAGAGTAGAAATAAACACACATCAGAGGTGGAATCAGGTGACCTGGAGGAGTGAGCATCCCGTGTCACAGCATGTCGATAAAGACCCCTCCCTGCCGGCCACACCCGCTTTGTGTTCACCGGTGTCGTGATCAGGAAAATTCTACGGGACGTTAAACAGTATACAATTTATTTAGTGTATAAATAATTTCACTAACAATTAGTACGAAATGCGTCATTCATCATTTGACTCAATGTTAAATATTTTGTATTTGACAAGATCATTTGACAATGTTAAATTGTATTTGTACCTACGATAACTTACTAAATGATGACTTTAAACGAGACTGCTGATATGCTTGTTTCATCATCAAACCTGAGAAATTTGCTTAATATTTTTATATTATGAGGTAAGATACCTTGAATAGCAAAACCAAACAGAGTAGATTTTGCGGGTTTGCTAAGACATAGAAGAAAATTAATTCTTTGAGAAGTCTAGTCTTACCAATGTCACGAAGGAAGCAATATACGCCATAGTCATCATGTACTTCTTTCTAAAGAGTTGATCTTTCTTCAATTTATTCCATAGAGATCCACCATCATTGTTGATATTTACATCTTCCTCACGCTTGAATACCGTGTCCTCAGTAATTAACCCTTCCTCTGCTGAACATTCCTGGTCTTGCTCATTACAAGTGGGGCCGTTTATATTGGTATTCTCTTTCAATAGCTTATCGTCTACCTCTGTTCTCACATTTCCAGAGGCAGCGCTAGCCATCTTTAATTTTCTAGCGAAAAAAGGTGAAAATAACTCAGGGTGATCAATTAATAAAAATTTCAGACAAGCTAAATCTGTGAACTTGGTAAAAAATCAGCGGTAATATAAGATTCCAAGAGGAATAAGCATCCCCCATCGACCGATTTAAAAATACACATTCTGCTAGATTTCATATTTAGACAATCTGGAATATGGTACATGTGTACATTAGTTATTGTAAAAATAGTGCAACACTTGTAATTTGCTCTTGTTATCAGGCATTTATCACGATTTCTCCATTACTGCTATACTTTTATTATTCTCGTAAAGTAAATCTTTCTGTATTCAATTTTTCTGTATTCTAACTGGTTACTTAAAATACGTCAATACGGGTTTGTGGGTGTTTCTTGCAGCAATTATGTATCTCAGACAGATTTGAAAAACTAAAGTAGAGGGCGAAAAGTTTCCTTAAAGATCTAGAGTGCTTGTTAATTTGTCACCGATTTGTCTCAAAATCTCGATCTATTTGTTTTAAATTGTCAAAGAGAGCTTGTATAATATATGTGATTTGTTACTTTAAAAAATAGCCTTTTTTAGAGTAATTAAGCACAGATTATGGAATTTATTTTTCCCCCAATTCTTTCATCCAGAAACAATGTTTTGCGAACAAGAAATAATAAACAGGATATATCGATTGTTTTGATATGTTATGATAAAAGAAATAGATGTACGGGACTTTATTGTTTACGTGCAATGTTTGCATGGTCCTAGCTGCAGATCTGTAGCGGTAAGGTTTTATATATATTGTCTTTGACCATAACGTTATGGTCAAAGACAAATATATAAAACCATAACGCTACAGATCTGCAGCTAGCATGGTCCACGCTTCTCTATAACGTTCCCTAATCTTGATGAAACTTACAAGTTACCCTAAGATTTTCTTTCAAGTAATATTATTAAAGCGTATCATGTTTACTTAATACATTCGCCGTTAACAAATCTTTTTATCATCTTGTACACAAAATGTAACTAAGAACATAATCAATTGATTTTGTTTTTGTAAATAAATGTGTCTACTTTTTGAATTATACCATTAATATTTGGACTATTTAGACTTTAATTAAATCTTAAATAATATCTAAGAATGTACCTGTAATATCTTATTCAACGCTCATCATTACGAAGTCTGTCTGGTATTTGGTACGACGTTTATTTATTTATTTTTTTGAGTGGTGTGAACCCCCCTCCATCCCCCCGTAGAAAAAAAAAACCTGGATCCACGCCTGAAAACGTTATAACATATGAACATACATGTATTTCATTTATTTCACCAAAATCATAAGGTAGCATTTCTTTCCCCCTCACAATAGATTTTTTATATTTCAATTTGAGAAAACAATTTTTGACATTTTTTTAATTTTAATTGTACCCCCCCCCCCCCCAAAAAAAAACGAATGTGAGGGAAATGTTTATACTAGTTTATGCTTTTTGTTTAAAAAAAAATGACCTTTGGGCATGTTTAAATTTTTTTTCAGATTTATCACGTTTTGACACTTAACGGAAAAACGTTAAAATATTTTTATCATATGGATATTATTAAAATAAATGGACTTCTCATACATGATAAAACAACTCGAGATATAAAGTCACGTTACTATCGATTGATAAACATTTAAAATAAATAAGCTTACCTTTAAAGCAAGAAGGGAGTTTCCTATAGAGTAATATTGTAGTTTTATGAATACATCATATATATCTATAACAAATGAATATATTTTCATTATTGCACGTGTCTATGCAATAATAAAGTTTACAACAGAGTTACTGTTCCTACATCGTCCATCTTTCTTATCGTGTATGACAGCGTATTCGTGTCATTTTGAACCAAATGAAAGAAAAATTCAGGCACACAATCAATTATATTTTTTTTTATTTGGTACATTAATAGTGATTATCATACATTGAAGAAAAAAAAGTTACTTATTCTTCACTTTTTTTTCATTTTGAGCACGGCTGAATATTATGGTCATCTTTTCATATAATTGATTATATAGACGATTTACAGGTAATTTTGTATTCACTTGTATTTTTCTGAACAAATGATTCTGTAATTACATTCGTTATTTAAATGGAAGCAATTTAAAAAAAAATATATTAAATTTAAGTTATTTTTTACTTTATTTTTATAAAAAAATATTAAATGTTAATGACTTTTTACTAATTTTAAAGTCTTTTTACTAGCTGACATGACCATTCTTGGTTTCAAAGAAAAACCATGATATCTTATGTAAATAATAAAGTACGTATTCTGAAATTAAAGAGGATTTTTATAAGCTCTTAACAGGGTGTATGTTTGTTTCCTGCAGTGTATGCCGTTAAACACCTGCTGTGGATACGTTATAATATCGGTTTATGCGACAGATACCCGCTGTGGTTACAGGTATCGGTTTATGCCGACAGATACCTATTGTTGATAAAGTATAACGGTGTATGTCATATTCTCCCGATGACTTGTAGTTTGATATGAATTTCAAGTTATCTAACATGTCTAACGAGTTGTATTTTTTATAAAAACACTTAACGAGTTGGATAAAAATCTCATCTAACCACAAATCATTCTTTTCATTCTTTGACTTTTACAACACTTTCAATATTTTTCACAGTTTTATACATGAATCCTCTTTATCTTACTTCCGCGAGATAAAGCAATAAGTTACATGAGTGAAGTGGTGTCCCAGATAGCATGACTATGTTGGGCCAACATTTGTTAAAGGTTGTATGGTTGGCGTTGGGGAACAACGCTGGGCCAACGTTGGGCCAATGTTACCAAGTCAACCTTCTCGACCATGATGGAATTCCTATGTTGGCCCATCGTTGGTCCAACTTAAGCAACTTCCATTCACTTTAGTTTCCAAAGAAGGAAGGATTATGGCGTTGGCAATACGTTGGACCAATGTTTATAATACACCCTTAAAGAATGTATATTTACAAGCTGGTAGTAGTATGTTGGCCCAACGTTGGCCCATTGTTTGTAATACACCCTTAAAGAAAGTGCCTTATCAAGTTTGTAGTAGTATGTTGGCCCAACGTTGGCACAATGTTTGTAATACATCCTTAAAGAAAGTGCCTTATCAAGTTGGTAGTATTATGTTGGTCCAACGTTGGCCCATTGTTTCTAATACACCCGTACAGAACGAGTCCTATCAAGTTGGTAGTAGAATGTTGGCCCAACGTTGGCACAATGTTTGTAATACATCCTTAAAGAAAGTGCCTTATCAAGTTGGTAGTATTATGTTGGCCCAACGTTGACCCATTGTTT